TAACTTCTTAAATTCTACGAAATGAGCATTTCTTCTTGGTTGTAGATAGATCGTTGACAAACAGAGTGTGAGCCAAACATATTCATTATGCACTCAGCTGACTATATATAGGAAGATATGCTACGAGACGATATATGAGATGTGAGATATATATATCCACACGTGATAACGAGAAGAACTGATCTCATTCTATTTATATTCCTATATCATGCACCTACTGTAAATGGATAATTATACATTTTCTCTTGTACCGGCGGAACCAAACATTTATGCAAACATTTTTGTTATGTTCTCCATATTGTATTGTAAAATTCTTGGGTGAAAATAAAACATATGTTATGATTGTTTCTTATGAATGATTATGATTTATTTAAAATTCAAAATTTTCATTTATTTTATCAAATCAAAGTCTTTCTTTCTGAAGTAATGTCTTCATGCATAATAAGGAGTCTAAATGTCTGGTCAATAAAAGGGGTCTAAGTGTCTTAATTGTCCGGGGTATCAAGGGTTGAGATTTCAAAAGAGTCGTTTGAATAATAATTATAAATCTCACTGAAATCACACACAAGAGCTCGCTTATTTAATTGCATATTCACCCATGATGCCCTTTACCATCCCTCTTAAAAAATCTCGTCGGATATCATTAAGTGACATAACAGGATGCGAGTTCCATCTGCGGCTCGTTTGTTTTGTTTACATGTGTAAATAAAGCTTATGGTAATTTATTAATATACACTCGGATTTTTATGGAATTCGGATCAAAAAGAGCTGATGGCGCACTATGTAACTGAAATGAATAGACTATTTCCTTTATTTTCAAGTACAATACATGGAATTTAACTTAAATATTTGAGTTATTTCTTTAATAAATATATCTGTGCGATAAAATAATTTCTATTTCATGTTTATTAAAATGCAAAATAGTATTGTTTTAATACGATAGTATAAAACACGACGAGAAAGAGGGAGGTGCCCCCAAGATTTAAATCACAAGGTGCGACGCAGTATAAGATATCAATGAATGAGCACAGAGCGAGGAGATATAGAGAGCACACTAGTGTGATACAATGCTCGCATAGAATCATCAAAACCTACGTACTGGTCTATAGGACAGCATCTATAGGCATTGCTTGTCGTCTGAAGCATGTTCTGGCTAACCCGTCTGTAATCATATAGACAAGAAAAACAGTATAGTGTACCAATAAGTGAAATATTTGCATAAACATTTGTTTACTATGTCGTGGTTTGCTAGATCACATGATCAATGGTAAGCTTCATATGATATGCAACCTCTCAAACCTATCCCTATACGATCTTTAACGAAAAACATGTTGCTATTGAGTAACCCGCGTGCGACTACGAGATGAGAGACTTGTTATTATGCGAGAGTATCTATGCGAATATATGAGTGGGATAAAGTCGGATGAGAGAATGGAATGCGATTGGACACAGAGGAGCAGAGAAAGCCAGTCAGATGAAGTTATCTATGAGTCATTCACTGGAGTGTGAGGTTGCTATATGCGAGAATCAGAAGCAAGGATGACGGACCTCCTGAGGTACGTGGTGTGCGAGGATCATTAACATCGTTCATATACAGACGTATTCATGCTGAGGTTAGTACTCGTTGCGCATGGATAGGTAGCACGATCCAATCATGGACGGTTAACCGCGCAGTCTGATCAGGAATTCCATGCTGTTCAGCTTTACGCCAACTCTAATGTCACAAGTAGAGAGACTGATAGCGAACAAGCAATGTGGATCCTGATCACGACTGTGTGCGACGGTACTGCCGCAGGCTCGGATCTCCGGGTATGCTCAAATGCTGGATGCAAGAGACGAATGCCACGATGTAAATCGTTGGTTTTGTCATGACAAAGGCCTCATGATAGCGAATACTGAGGGATTTGTTTTATACACAGAAGTTTTTTTTTGGCATTTTAGCAATAGGTATTGTAGTTGTTGACCGACGAATAATTAGGCAACCATGATTGCTAGAAGAACAAACACCACACAAAACACTATGAACAATATCAGCATTGACTTCGCACATGGAGCCTGCAATGATAAGAGAAATTTCTTAAGAACATACATGTCATTTTGAACGAATTTCCTCATTCTAAACAAGGCCCTTAATTCATATTATTCAAGCTTTAGTTCAGAAAAATGTTCATAACTCGGTACATTTTGTTTAAATTTTTGCATGGATAACATAAAGCATGATGCCTACAACGGTATATTTTAAAAGCTATGTATACAGATAAGAGTCGAATCAATTATGATGCATTTTACGTACTGAATTATAGGGACGACCAGGCTGAGATGATAAACTGTTGTAGGCTGTGCCCCATAGACTGTCACGTTGGACCCTGGCTGGCCAAAAGTATTTGCCGTTGTATAATGAGTACCAGCATATCCGCCATGTGGGCCTGGTACAAATCCCACACCAGCAGTCGGATGAACAATCGTATTATGTCCGTGACTATAACCAAAATTGTTATGACTACCCTCTGCACTGAAAACATTTCCACCGTGGTCTATCCCTCCACTTGACGTAAACCCGCCTCCGCCACCAAAGTCTCCACCTCCAGAAGAAAATCCACCGCCTTCCAGAAGAAAATCCACCGCCTCCGCCACCGAAGTCTCCGCCTCCAGAAGAAAATCCTCCGCCTCCCCCGCCTCCGAAATCGCATCCTCCACCTCCTCCTCCTCCTCCTCCCATTCCGCCTCCTCCAGAATCACAATCCACCTTTGATGGTTAAGAAAATTAGTTTTTTGTTTACAATGCTGAAATTTCATTCTTAAAAATCGAGGTAAAGCTATGCCTGAAATAAATCCGAAACGAATACAATGAACTTATTTACGTTAAAGTGTTCTACGAATTTATGAAACATCTAAAAAGCGCGAGCTGTGCTGTAAAAAAACAAAATAGGCCTATCTTGTTTTACCATTTTGGGAAGTATTTTGGATAATTTGAGTCCAAAACATCAATTATAGTACAATTTGTTGTAAATAGATATTAGCTATGTAACATGTATAACATAGATAAGAGTTCATAAAACTGGCTGTTATAAGATTTTTGCATGAATAGAATTCTTTATAGGTAGGCCAGTTGGATATTAAGGATACAATGAGAATGGCTAGAATACGGAACCAGTAACGAAACATTAGCCAAGCATAACCGAACATTTCCGATGAAGCTTAGGTTGTAGTAAAGATTGAATATCTTGATGGAAAGCTTATTGTACGACTTACTGAATTTTGGATGGCGTTCATACGATAATTATGTTGTGAAGGTATGCCCATGTTTAATTTCACATGTACTTTTGTGTTTACATATTGTGTAGGAAATAAGAACGTATTTCGCGTTGATAGTTATAGTTAGCATCACGAGATTAGTACTCACAGAGTTGTGACAGACTGTTATGGATGTACTATAGTGCAGAGGAGGTACCATTGACCGTGTAGTGTCGGTGATACGTATATGTAATCTAGGAGATTTGGATGTGAATAGAGAGCAGTGAGTGATGAGGATAGACTATGTGTAATGAGATACCAAGATCATACATAGAGTTTCGTTGAGCATCTAGTCGGGGCGTTAGTATTGCGGCTGATGCAGGCTTATTGAGTAGTTGTATTTATTTTTCGTGAGTGGTGTGTATTGACATATTTTGTAAGAAAATAGATTAAAGTATAACATCATTGATTAAAATAATTATCTTGATAGTATATACATGTAATTGTTAAATAGGTAACACTTACCGTCCATTTGTGAGAAAATTACAAAAAACTTCCGGTATCGGTTCACATTAATCCAAATTCAAAGCCGACAGGAAGATGCACAAAATAGATTTAAGTTTTAAATGACAACCAGTTTATGTTTATGTTTAGATACATTTCACAGACTTAACTAGACCGCGTCCGACATGCAACATACGGATTCACATTCTTTCAATATGTAAGCTATAGAAACGCGCTCGATAAAATATTCGATATGTTGAAGTTAAACTTTCTTCTATGCTCTCTTTCTTAATAACAAACTATATAATGTATGGGTTGTCAGGTAGCTACGATATAACCTTCTTTATGGTATATAAAAAGGTATGCGGTTTAAGGTAAAGGGATAAATGGGTCGAAAACAAATCATAATTATAAATAGACTATAAATTTGTATGAATGAGGACACAGAGTTTCGATAGGGGAAGGGTTCGAATTCCAGAAGAGGCAATTCTTTTTCCTCATTTTTTGTCTTCTTTTCTTCATTTTGTTCGGCCAGAATTTGATTTATTTTCTTATTTTTAATATAAAATCTGAAATTAAGAACAAAATAAAGTTTGATGCATATTTTTTTACTGTGAATTGTGTGAAATTGGATAGGATAACAACTTAAAATGATTGTAATTTGAAATCAGCATGGTAAACTTTCTTTATATTTTTCACAAATGCTGAGATTTGTATCAAGATAATAATTATTAAATAATATTTTGATGCCTTTATTTTATATGACAAAATCTGACAGGTTTTCTTACCCCACCCTCTTCTTGCTTTATGTATCAATAAACCAAAAAAAATTTTTCAAAGACATTTGTCATTGGTTTTATTTGTAGTTATGCTATGGTTTGCTAGATTAAAATGTATACATTTGAAACCGGTGTGACCAGACAGAAATACATGTATCCAGAAAAAAAGTCAATTATTTTATGTTTCCTTTAATTAATTTTTTTGCAAAGCATTAAGTGGCATATTATTGCTATATACCTTTGGATAAATATACTCCAAACAGAAATACATTAAAGACATCATTTAAATTTGTAACTAGTCTTGGGGAAAAAAACATGTTTAATTCAAACCGACAAAAGTTTAGATCTACTTATTTCTTACATGTAGATTTACATTTCTTAAATGCGGATCGTTATTTAGAGCTGATTTTTATCAGATTGGTATTAAATTGTAATTTTACCTGTATAGACATCCAGTATTTAATAGAAAACAGAACAAAGTCATCAATAATATATTATATTTTGCATTAAATTTGTATCAAGAAGTATAAAAATTGATGAACATTTAAAACAAAATATATACAGACAAACAATTTTTATATAAAAAGTAAAGATATCACATATACGTAAATTAGTCAACAATTTGTGGCTTGTACAGTTTCACGAAATAAATGCCGGGATTAAGATAAAATATGATATTATTTAAACGTTTTCCTGAACCTGATGAAGATACCGACAAAACTTAAAATTTAGCAAATAGATACGTAGGGTTTGAAGTTTCTCCAAATTCATATAACTTATTAACGTTTATACAACTAGCGCTGAGTAGTAAAAATGATAATTGGAGTCAAGACACACAGAAGAACGATCACCACACCAAACACTATAAAGACTATCAGCACTGCCTTGTCACATGGAGCCTACAATTATGAAATAAATTTTGTATGACATGTACTAGTATATCATTTTGCAAATTAATACATCCTTTCCATTATATTGTGAAAGTTAAAAATCTATCAATAATTTCATATAACAATTAAGGAAGCATCATTATGATAATGAATATATCATCAATTTCATATAATGATTGGGAATGCATCAGTATAACAAGGTTTTATCAAAAACAATTTCATATAAAGATTGAGTAAGCCTCGGTATGACAATGATTATATCGTCAATTTCATATAACGATTAGATAAGAATCAGTATGATAATGAATATATCATCAATTTCATATAACGATTGGGAATGCATCAGTATAACAAGGTTTTTATCAACAACAATTTCATATAAAGATTGAGTAAGCCTCGGTATGACAATGATTATATCGTCAATTTCATATAACGAGTAGATAAGTATCAGTATGACAATGAATATATCGTCAATTTCATATAACGACAGAGAATGCACAGTGTGACAAAGTATAAATCAACAATTAGATAAGTATCAGTATGATAGAACGAATATATCATCGATTTCATATAACAATATAGCATGTTGTTTTTGTTGATAAAGGTACATGTAAAAATGACGATCAGCACTGTTATTAATAATAATAGTGCTGATTATCGTTATGATGAAAATATAATTTTAGCTCCATAATTATGTTTTTGATGGTGTACATTTTATATATGTTGAATATATCACACACGTGTATATATATTTTCAAACTGGACGGTATATGAGTCATATGGGAGCGGTATGGTGGATATTTGGAGACGGTGAAATCACCGACCCAGGCAGTGTCTGCACTCAACTACACCAAAAAGTATCGATCCAAGGCAGTTTACTTTTACCAACTTTGAAAAGCCGCCGATTCAGGCTAATTCAAGCTGCTGCCGTCTGATTGTCACTGCCGCCGGACGGATGCAGGTCAACATTGCGATTTTTTGCAGAAACAGACACCGTCCGGCGGCTGTTTGTGTATTTCTGACTGAGGCATTGCCGAATGATAAATTTACCCGTATTTGCATAGAAGAACTTTTTTTTATAAATGTGCATTTTAAATAAAACAAAATAGAAATGTTTTGTAAATGTAAATAACATGAAATATAGACGAAAACTTAAGGCTAATATTTCAAACAAGTATTTTACCTTGGAGAAACAAGTTCGCTAAGCCAAAATACGAATAAGACTTGCATACGCATTGGCTTTCGTTTCTGATTCAGTAAATATTTATTAACATCATTTGTTAATTGTAAACGTGTTTAATTGGTTGAAATAACCTATGATTTAACTATTCTAGCAACACGGATGTATTTTGCTTACTGAATTATTTGGACGAGTAGGCTGTGCCCCAAATACTGTCACATTGGACCCTGGCTGTCCAAAAGTATTTGTCGTTGTATAATGAACACCAGAATATCCACCATGTGGGCCTGGTCCAAATCCCACACCAGCAGTCGGATGAACGAACGTATCAATGGTCCATGATTATGAACATTGGTCTTGGTACTAGGTAAATCCATCTCACTAGAAATTTATTTCGCACCCGAAAGTCCTGTGTGCCCACTTGGAACCGAAAGCACGCCTCCACGTATATAAGTCTTCGCTCCAAGAAGAAAACCCAGCGCCGCCCCCGCCACCAAAGTCACCACCTCCGCCACTGAAGTCTCCGCCTCCTGTAGAAAATCCGCCACCTCCGGAATCGCATCCTCCTGCATCTCCTCCTCCCATGCCGCCTCCCCCTGAATCACATCCGCCTATAGTAAAAACATAAGTTTTGTATTATGTTTCACTGATTGTCAAAATGAGGTATACTTACATAATGAAAACAAAACTGACTCTGAAAACAGAGACAAATAAAATTTCTGAAATTGTTTCCAACGATATCAGATCTTTACGGAAGCGTCCTGGTGCCAGTTTAACATGTTTTATAAAAAAAAGATAACTACTACGTAGGACTTTGCAACTCCTACGTAGGACTTTATAACTCCTACGTAGGGATAAAAAAAGCCTAATTAGGAGTTTATAAACTCCTACGTAGGAGTTTGTAAGTTCCTACGATAGGACTTTATTAGTCCTACGTAGGACTTTATAACTCCTACGTAGGAGATATAAAAACCTTATTAGGAGTTTTAAAGTCCTACGTAACACTTACAAACTCCTACATAGGACTTTATAACTCCTACGTAGGAGTTAAAAGCCTAATTAGAAGTTTATAACTCCTATGTAGGACTTTATAAGTCCTACGTATAACTTTATAACTCCTACGTAGGACTTTATTAGTCCTACATAGGACTTTATAACTCCTACGCAGGAGATAAAAAAACCTAATTTAGTAGTTTTAAAGTTTCTACGTAGGATTTTAAAAGTCATACGTAGGAGAGTTTATAACTCCTACGTAGACTTTATAAGTGTTCCTCTACGTAGGAGTTTTAAAGTCCTACGTAGGAAGTTTTAAACTCCTAATTAGGCTTTTTATCTCCTACGTAGGAGTTTAAAGTCCTACGTAGGAGTTTTGTAAGTCCTACGTAGTACTTAAAACTCCTAAATAGGTTTTTATATCTCCTACGTAGGAGTTTGTAAGCTCTACGTATAGGACTAATAAAGTCCTACGTAGGACTTACAAACTCCTACGTAGCGAGTTTATAAACTCCTAATTAGGCTTTTTATCTCCTACGTAGGAGTTATAAAGTCCAAACATAGGAGTTGCAAAAAGTCTTACGTAGGAGTGATCTTTTTTATAGAACATGTTAAACTTGGCACCAGGACGCTTCCGTAGATCTTAGCATGATTACTCCATGAAAACATAACATACTTTAAAAATATCAATTGTCCGATGTATTACACTGTACATTATAAAGTTATTCAAGTATAGACATTGACAACGAAATTGTTTACGCTTAAAAAATGGTCAAATTCATGAACACTGCTATCGCCCAAAAAAGTTGAATACACTTTTGAGTGAGTTCCGGTAATTCTAAATATTCTGATAACATAACAACAACCGTTAACATTACCCAATACATTACATTATAACGTTTGTAAATATAGTTACTACACATTAGATAAGAATTCACTTTATTTAGTTAATATTTTAACATGAAATAACTTAGCAAGGTAATGTATTGGCCCCTTGAAATAGAAACTTCAACATATTTTGCCATTTTTATTATTTCGAATTTCAAACTTGCGGTGTGGTATGAAAAATTAATTAACTTTCTTCTCTGATTATGAAAATATCGACTATAATTATTCAGAAATGTTACAAAATATGTTTTTAAGACCTGTTGGGGTAATGAACGTATTATAATTACATGTGAATGCCTTTATTTATATTACGAATGTTTTGTAAAAATCTCACTTAATCTTAAAAGAGAATGATTTAAATGCAAAGGTATATAACAGTTATTATACATGTAGATGAAAAAAATTACATTTACCTTCCATGTGTGAGATAATTACAACTACTTCCGGTTCCTGTTCACATTAAGCCAAAATGAACGCCGAATAAAAGAAATATAATATAGATTTAAGTTTAATATGTTTGGTAGTATGTCCTAAAACTAAACCCGTTCGGATCACTTAAGTTTGTGGATTGTTCATATAAACCATATCAGAGACTATATACGTATTGAAAGTGTTTTTACTACGTGACATAAGATGTAAACAAACATCGAAGCTGTTATCTTTTCATGAGTAACGACTGTATTTGTTGATATCATACGAAAAATAAAGTCTATTTCTGTAATATTATTACTGAAATAAGGACTATTTGCGAACAAAAATGTCATCAGCACGTATACATTTTTATCACACACTCGTGCCGATTTTGCGACTCCGTAAATATGGTATTGCACGGCCGTGCATATATTTTGACTTGACGTCATTATCGTTATACAAACATAGTGTAAAGACGCGCTAAATGATGGCATTATTCTATAGGCGCGTCAATGAAAAATGACTCTTATTTCACTTTAAACGGTCTTTATTGTGGGTGTGTGATAAATAGAATATTAAATTCGTGTAAGTTCATTACTGAATTTATTGCACTCGTTGAATAAAATAATATTACGCTCGCCAGAGGTAATTTTATTCAACTCGTGCAATAAATTCAATATTGAACTTACACTCATTCAATATCCTCTATGTATTTCGGTTTATATAAACATACTAATTTTATTAGGATAAAGTGGTGTATACCAGTGGTATACCACTTGTTATACCAGTAGTTTTACATCAATGAAATTAACTGGTATTTTGTTGGTAAACTTTCAGTGGAATATCAAAGAAACGCATCATATTTCATCGAAATGCCAGTGGTAAATAAACTACGGAAATTATTTATAAAAACATAAAAATTTATACCTACAAAACATAAATTACATTATCTATTTAAAACAGTTGATACAGATGCGGCCCTATTAGAAAAAGAGCGCATTTATAAACTGGTTTGGAAATGATGTCCTGCTTGCAACAATTTGTTATTCTTATTTCTTTAAATTTTTTAAAAATTTTTTTTTACTCAAAGTTGACCTGGTCTTTAAAAATCACTATATATTCTTCCCCTTTTCCTATCACATTTTAAGCCCAGTTTGATGCATATTTCTGGTACATTTTTTTGTCAGGTAATAGTTTAATACCTTTTTTTTTTCAAAAATCTTTTATTCAAAACTTTCGGGGACTTATTAAAATTTTTCTTTAAATTGCTTTGCTAAGCCCTTATTTTTTTTTTAACAAAAAAATATTTTCTGCATATGAAACTTAATGTTCAAATGATTTAAAATCACCCTTTATTATTCTATAAATAAAATATGAGCAAACTTTTTTTAGTCGGGTTTTTTGGAAAAATCGTAAGTTTTTGCCTTTTTTTAAAAAATGACAGTAGACATTTTATTTTTTTTCCCAATGGGACTTTAAAACCCCCCGGGCAGACAAAAATTTTTAAAAAAGGGCACAATACCGAACAGGTTGGCATAAACATTTAAAATTAATATCTTTGCCCATTTAAACTTAAGATCTATTAAAAATTATACATATAAACATACTACCCCCAACATTACATGTACATACATACCAAAAAAAAAAAAACATAATATTACATTAGCCATTAATGCAAATTTTGTTGTAATTTAATTGAATTTTAATACATAAACGCAATTTGCCATATGTTTATACACATATCCTTAAAATTGAAGGTCCCCTTTCGCATCAAATGCAGATTTCATAAATTGTAACAAATCTTTATCATTTCATTTTGGATTGTTTTGAAACTTCGAAAGTCCAATTTCAAAAGTGCTTTGACTATTCATGTTAAGTTAAAGTTGCAAAGAGACCTTCAGCTGACTTAATTGCCAACCCTTATCATATAAACATGACATTATATACCAATAGAAAACATATTATATATAATTATGTACAACAACGTTTTAATTTTCTCCAAAAAGTAATATCTGTCTTGTCGAAACGAAAGTGCAAGACAAATCATATGGATATTTTTTTAACATAAACATTACAACAGGGCATATTTGCATTATTAATCATATAGCAAAGTATTTCTAATAATAAATGCTTTGTTTATATATATTCCTAAGTTTTTAAGTATGTTCTTATTTTTTGAGTTCATAAGATCTACAAATTTATACATGCTAGGCCGTATCCAATATTTTCTGGCAATATATTTTTTCCTAATATCAATGTACATTACACATTCAATAATAAAATGATATTCATCTTCTACCTTATTACATGTTATACATTTTCTATCACTAATAGGTGTTCTGGTGGGTTTGGAGTAGAGCCCTACTTGATTGGTTAAGTCTTGCATTCCAGTTCTGTATAAATTGATCGCTTAATCTTTGTAAGAAAGAAAGAAAACAAAACCATGTAAAAAAATTGGTGGTGAACATCTCAGATAATAAATCTCTTTTTTATTTTATTATTTATTTCATTTTTGAAAAACATATAGCACTGGCATTTTTCTACTATACTGGTATTTCTATTTATTCTAAAACTTTACTGGAATATCAGTGTTAGTGCAGTGGTATTCTGGCGATAAAATTATGGAATATTCCACAGAAATACAAGTAGATTTATTTACCACTGGATTGCAGTGATATTTAACTGATATTCCAGTGATAGTATAAAGTAATCCACTAGAATAAAAGTGGATTTATGTTTACCATCGAAAAAAAACGATACTCTACTGCTATCTCATTCATACTAAACGGGGTATATATAATAAATTAACTTAACTTACATGAACTTTTACACGACAAAGTGAAACAAGTAAAGATTTTGATGTTAAAGCATCAAGTCGCCGGATAGAAAAATGATTGTATTATCATAAATATAAGAACATATAAGTTTAATGGTTCAAGTATAAAAATAAGAGGAACAATGAGTTGAGTAATGTTTGCCACTGAGGCTTGTAAAGGCAAGTGCTATGTTGGTAATTCTTCTAGTAATTGTACTTTATACATATAC